GGTTCTGCGGAAAGGGGGAGGGGGTTGTAATGTAGTCTTACGGCATGTCGAACTCAAAATGGAAGCTTTATAAAGCTGACATTTGTCATTTTTAATTGATGATTGAGATAGAGTAGAGGAAAAATGTTGTTTCGTGAAAGCAAAAACGTCTACACGTTGATAAGTTGTCAACGAATATAGCTGCACGAACCAGCTTTTTATCAACTTTGAGCGCTCCCGAATTTAGGCACAGTAACTCCAAAAGTGAATCAAGACTCTATTTATCGCTCTTCGATCGTCCTCCGAGTTGTAGCCACGCCACTTCACAACCACCGACCCAATCGAGCAGCCCCGTCTTACGCGGAAAGCGAACACTAAACCAGCCCTAGCCCCAGTTCAATAGCCGATGTCCCGCCATTCGCCTCGATGCCCCTTCTCCACTTTCCATTTCCGCATCGTCTCTCCCGACGCCATGATGGAGTGTTTGCCATATGGAACTATTTCTCACCGCGCATCAATTTCCGGAGTTTGACGGGATCCTTCCGCGACGACGGTAGAGATTAAAGAGTGCGCCGCTTATTCCCATGGGGTACCCGGGCTGTTGAGACGTTGTGACGTGGGACACTTAATTAATCAGCTTTACCGGATATTTTTAAACATCGCCCAAGGGGCATTCTTCCCAGACGTGGACGAGTTCCGATCTTATCCTATTTCTGGGGCAGTGTACCCAAGGCAATGGCAGCTTTGCTTGACCTCTTCTTAATTGTGTTTGCCTGCTGTAGTAAACTGGGAAAACCATACGCCCAAGGCTGGTCCTGCGCTTTGCTTTTCATTTTCGCTGACGTCGAGTCATGAAATCTGGTCTAAAGCAAAGAGAGCACTGATATCTATTTGTACACTTTGGGAAAATTATCAAGAGTCTGGCTAAATACAATTAATTGGTACTGTACCATTTTGTCAACCGTCTGCTCCTCCTCGTCCCCCACCTCCTCTGCCTCTCTATTTCTTAGTCCTCCTCCTCCTCCTCCTCCTCCTCCTGTTTCTCATTCCTCGTCTTTATGTCGTCTTCTTTTTTTCACTTTTCTGCTCTTCCGTCTCCTGCTCCTCCTCCTCGTCGTCATCGTCCTCCTCCTCTACATACCCATCCTTATCCTGTTCCTCATCCTGCTCCTCATCCTTGTCCTTCTCCTCGTTCTCCCCCCCCCCTTTCCCATCCCTCATCCTTCTCTTCCTCATTCTCCTCCTTCTTCTTCTCCTCTTCCTCCTCTTACATAATACAACCCAGCCTCATCTACACCACCAGCAAACCATTCACTTTACTCCCCAGCTACCATCGACAGTTGCAGTCGGCTTCAGAAGAGGCGGAAACGGCCGATAACTCCGAGTTCGACACTGACGAGGCGTCACGTGGGGGCGTGGATGTTGACGTCATCAACGACGGGGAGGAGACGGGGGCGGGAGGCGTGAACAATGCCGCTTACTGCGAAGATCACTTCTCGGACCTGGCTGTCGACCGTTTCTTTCGTCGTAACGGGTCCCTCTCCAGTTGTGAGGAAGACGAGGATGAAGATTTAGCCACCAATGGTCTACGTTTAGACGATTTGCAAATTCCTGAATGGTCTATCGATCCACTAGGAGGCGTTTTAAAGTCGAGTCCTCACAGAAAACTCTCCTCAAGGTCATGTGGGCCTCCAAAAAATCCTAACTATGAAATGCACCCCTTTAGGAAGCGGTCAGATTCCTATTTCGTGTACCCACGATTCCAGCAGAAAAACCCTGAGCCTCCTTTTTTTAATGGAAATGTAATACCTTTGAATGGGCGATTTGATTTTGGATCAAATTCCAACTTAGCACCTCGTCTTTCTGGGAGGGATATGCGAGCAGCACCAAGACATTCTACCAAACGCCTTGTTCGTGCAGCTGCACTAGATGAGAATACGGACAATACGCCGTCGTTGGGCTGCTCTGGGAACTTATCTAGCGAGTCATCTCTAGCAGATCGTTCATCCTCTCTCACACCAGCCAATGAACGACGTCATTCGTTTTCCCCTCCACGGACTACCGAGAGCCATTGTTCTGGAGATGTGGATCACAGCAGAACCCCAACGATATCTTTGCCTTCCGCCGTAAACCCTGACGATGTAACGATCGACAGCGTGGAAAACCATCCACTTTCAAGTGCAGCTAATCCAGATGCAAATGGCAACGCAGCGTCTAATTTGTTTGCAAACCTCGAACCGTTGTTGCCTCTGAATGACGGGATGGTCAATATTCCAATCGACCCCGTGATCCTTGATTCGTCCAGTCCTCAAATCCCCAGCTCCCAATCCAGCCATACTCTTTCTGTAGCACCGCAAGCACTCCTACCTGGCAGCAAGCAGAACAGCAGTGGGAACATCATCCCTCGATCTGCGTCCACCGGTAATTGTGTCTCGCTTTCAAAACCAGTCACGCCCCGTGAGCAAGCCAGATCTCCTTCATCCGTGTCTAATCTTCAGCCTGCTATTGACTTGTCTGTGGTTGGCGTGCCCAGTGCCTCCCATATACCATCACCCAGATCGCCCGCTGACAAAAGACGGCACAATAGCGTATTTACTGTGGCTGACGCGCAGAACTTTCATCATAATTACAGTCCAAGGAAGTTCTCGGATACCGGCCCTCATCTACAATTAGACCCTGCCCAGCTGCCCAACAATAGCAGGCGTACGCAAAGCTATAACAAACAGAGCAGGGACTACTTCAAGAGGAACCTCAAGTTGAAGGCAAGATAGATAGATAGATAGATAGATAGATAGATAGACAGATAGATAGATAGATAGATAGATAGATAGATAGATAGATAGATAGATAGATAGATAACAGATCTAAACACATGGAAAAGGTAAAATGACTGGACATAGACATTGACAACTTATGAGGATATGCATTATTATGATTTAGAAATCAGACGCCATAACCATAATATATTTAATTTCACATGTGTGTGAAAACACGTGTTTATGTATACGTATACACTCAGTATCTTCTTCTTCTTCTTCTTCTTCTTCTTCTTCTTCTTCTTCTTCTTCTTCTTCTTCTTCTTCTTCTCCTCCTTCTCCTTCTCCTTCTCCTTCTCCTTCTCCTTCTCCTTCTTCTTCTTCTTCTTCTTCTTCTTCTTCTTCTTCTTCTTCTTCTTCTTCTTCTTCTTCTTCTTCTTCTTCTTCTTCTTCTTCTTCTTCTTCTTCTTCTTCTTCTTCTTCTTCTTCTTCTTCTTCTTCTTCTTCTTCTTCTTCTTCTTCTTCTTCTTCATCATCATCATCATCATTAATCATCATCATCATTAATATTATTATTATTATTATTATTATTATTATTATTATTATTATTATTATTATTATTATTATTATCAATAATGATAATATCATTATCGTTATCATTATTCTTATTATTACTACTATTATTATTATTATTGCTGTTGTTGTTGTTGAATAATATAGTACCTGCCTCTTGAATAACCTAATAGTGTTGTTAGGGACGTTAAACCCATACCATTTCACCATTTAAAAAAAAAATATGGTACGTGTCTCCATCAACTTCCAGGACAACCGTGTGAAGTCTACGCTACGACGTCACGCCATGTCTGGTTACCAGAGCCAGCTGCCCGCAGACTTCATAGACGAGTGTACCCTGGAGGCTTTGTCTAAGGAAGACCTGCTTGTTTTGTGGAAGAAATCTGAAATCGATCTGGAAAGTAAACTCAGTGAGGTGAGGACAAAGATAAGTTTGGCTATGCCCCCGCCTCCCCGCCTCAATTTCTATGTGCTCAAGAATTGTGCACACAGTAGAATACCCTATATAAAAAATGATTTAAAATCGTGTTTTCAGGTTTAGAGAAGATCAACATTTTCGTAAGTGCAAATACTGTGCATTATTGTAGGTTTTGTTTTATGTTGTTTTGTTTTTCTTTTGCATCCATAGGAAGAAGGGCATTTTACTCAAGACTGAGGCAATTGTTTAAAAGTTTGTTATAAAGCAAGCTATAGGAAAAGTGCGGATGCGAGAGTAATAGTTCAATAATGCTTTCAAGCATTATTTCCATTGCTGCCTCTTTGTAATGCCTGTTGTACGCTACTTCGAGAATAATAACATTCCCAGGATACAGTATATAATAATATAATCTCTTAATATAACCTTTCAGATTACTGAGAAACGTGCGCATGGTCCTTGAAGAGAGACAAATCTGGGCGAGTTACTGCTTTAAAAAAATTGCAAATGTTTTACTCCCCTTTTGACGTATTTTTTTTTATTATTTAAGAGGCAGGCAGTTTCTACCCTGTATGTTAGGGTCAACCTATACTGAGAGGGATACAATGATCCAGCAAAAAGACGAAGATAGTTAATAAAACTCCTCCCCATACGGGAATCAAAATTATATCTTATCCGTGCGCAGAGGAGTGCCTGAACATGACACCACATACGCCGTTATACCCACGGATGCAGTTCCGGTGATATTATCTTTTCTTTACTTTTGCTTTTTTCAAGGTTCTGGCAAGAAACCGTCGTCTGAGCATGGCTATCGACTACCTGACGTCAGAGCCTGACAAGGCGCGGGAACCAGAAGAGGTCTGAGGATGACCAAACCCAAGCCAAGAGTGGACATAACTGATTTAATCTTTTTTTATTGGACGATCACAACGTCGTCAACATGGAGAAAAGTCACAGAAATTGATGTACAGGAACATTTCAAGACATAGTATAGCATCAAGCGGCTAAGAAAGGATGAAGAAATGGTGCTCATTTGACCTTATGCAGTTGCGGCCCCCCCAAACTTCTACTAAAACTTTTGAAAAACAGGGTAGTGAAAGGTGGAAGGTGTTTGTTCGTGGCCTACATCCTGGTAAAGGGGGAGAACGACAATGATGATGACAACATCGCTGTGAAGATCCCAGCCTGCCCAAGCAGCGGCTCTGACCATCTGGTTCTGCAGCCAGATCCTATGATACCGCCCTTTTGAGGGTGTGGGTGTCCAGATAGGTTTTTTTTCTGCAGTTCTTACTGTGGCAAGCAGGGATGACAATAATGCTTCTGCGGCATGGATCATCACAGGCCTTGAAAGATTAATATCACTTTACTTTTTTACAATGTCTATTCTGCTTTCTGCCATGGTCAATACGGCACAAGGTCCGATCTTGATTTGTCCTTGTAGCAGTACGTGTTTTGAGTTGGTTTTTTGGAGTGTGTGTTTTAATACTTTTCAAAGTACTGACGTGCAGGGTATGGTGACTTCTCCTGACCATTTGTTCGAGAATTTAGGTCTGTCCATACCTTATGGTGATGCTCGCAACAAGTCACTTCATTGAAAATGTAATTGTGTGTAAATTCAGTGTGTTTATTTGTTTGTTTGTGCATGCGTGTGTATATTTGTATGTTTGTGTGTGAGTAACAAATTTTTTCAAAGACGTAAAGCCTTCTTTTTTCTAAGACTTTTGAGAAAGGGAAAATCTTCAGCCACTCCCCTAATATGATCTGAACTGTAGGACTTCTTTGAAACATAGAAAAACGACAGAAAAAGGAGTTGTTGAGGTTTTCTTTTGTTTGTTAAGTTCTCATGATATGAATGTGCTAGTCTTTGATGGCCGATAAAATCATATCGTCACTCTGCATGTATCTTGAAGAAGAAAAGTTGTTCGTGAGCACATGTATTTCGATCTTCAGTTACATTGTCTATCCTTACTTCTGTCTATGTAAAGACCTATGTAAATGTTTTTTCTGCAGTTTTTTGCGTATTTCAAAGAATCTGTTTTATTTTTGGATTTGCACAAATTGTCAAGTGTACAAACCATAGGAAATTAGTACAAGTGAAAATTGAGCCTCGTTTTCTATTACCGGTTCCTTTCGTTTTGGAACATGTGTGGGTCTTAATCCCACTGTGTCATTTTTTGGTTGGTCCTGCTGCAAAGCACAACTTTAAGGAAGTTGGGAAAGCAAGTAGAGCATGTTGCTATCACTAATGTTGCGTTCATTACTTACTTTAACTTTACTTTTACTTTTTCATCCTCTGTTGCCGTTAAGCGTCGAGGGGAGATGCAGTTTTCTATGGTAGGCCAGCTCCGCAGCTCTTTCAGTTGTGATGTTATGTTTTCTCAGGGTTTCCTTGACACCCTTGATCCACCTTTTGTGCGGCCTTCCTCTTCCTTTATAGCCTGAGTGCTTGGTGTTGTAGGCTCTCAAGGCTGGCTGGTCAGGTGACATGCGTAACAGGTGGCCAAACCATTTTATCCTGTCTTTCTATGTAACGCAGGCAGGATTCAGCGTCGATAGCTGCTCTTACTTCTTCATTTCTCTGCCTGTTTCGTCTTGTGATGTTAAGGGTTTTGCGGAGACATTTCATTTCGCATGCGGTGATTTTGCTTTCATGGGTTTTGCTTTAGGTCCATAGGCACTGATAACATAATGTTGGTATGTATATTGAGGTGGTAAGCTGTCCCTTTGTGTCCATGGAGATGTTTGGATGAAAATAGAAGGGGTGCGAGTTGGTAGGTGACAGCGTTGGCTTTTCGAGTTCGCATTTCTATTTCTCTGTCAATGGACCCGTTTTCAGAAAAAGTGCTGCCAAGATATTTAAACTCTTTCACCTGTTTCAGTTGTTTACTATTGACATGGATGTTCAGGGGATTGTGGTTTCGGCTAACTTTCATAATTTCTGTTTTTGATGTGCTTATTTTCATGTTGTTGCGTTCATTAATACTGTTTAATGCCGAATTGCGAATATTACTATATTATTATGAAAGACAAAACAACAGCTTGTGTCAAAAAACATTTTGTCCTTTAGCCAAAGAAATTTGGTAGGAAGATTCTATTGGCATCTATATCGAGAAACGGTGCCACAAGCAATTGTTTCGAAAGAAAATGAGAGCTCAAATTCATGAGATTGAACACACTGGCTAGGACGATAGTCTAAACAGAACTCACGTTGTAAATGTATACACGTCTCAAATACTCGTAATATTCCCCATTTGCGCTAATCACTGTTTCCTGACTTTTTGTGTGTTTGACTTGTCACCTAACAACGTCCCTATATTGTCGTTTTTGAAATACGATATTGGCGTATGTATATATATATATATATATATATATATATATATATATATATATATATATATATATATATATATATATATATACGTGTATTTTACATATATACAATATATACATACTTTAACGTCTTTCGTTTACTTTTAAATAGTTTACTTCCTTTTTGCAAATATTATGCTGAGTCGCATTCCTTGGCATGGAGTTAACAATATCACTATGTTTTGCTGCTTGTCTATACTTTCATAGACACTATGAAGCAGATCACTTTTTCAATTCATTTAGTCCTCGTAAACGTGCAATCTCATTAGTCATTCTATGCAACAGATATGAAGAGAAATAATTTTAATATAAGTTTGCTATTGTTAAGCAATACAAGGAGGCGTTTAGTTCATATGACAACTAGAATGTACATGCGTACTCTTATTACTTACATAATTTGATTTCTGGTATTGCAATATCAAAATACTTGTTTGTAAAGATTCCTTGTACGTGTGGAACATCATTTATTTACTTCGCCATTAAAAGACTTTTGACTGCATTATTGATTTTTTAGATAATCCCTAATGTCAGGCATGCTGTTAACCATACCCTAAATGTGGTTGCCTATGGAAGTTTTTGTTCTTGGACAGTATTTTTTTCGGACTTGTACCCCACCCCCAAATCCCCAGCCCTTTTCCATAGTTGTCTTTTTTTTTTGAACATCCACTGTAGATTAAGGATTAGATCTACCTTGTAGATGATTGGTGTTCAAATTCCAACATTACCAGAATTATCGTTTTCTAGTTCTTTATGGAATATTTGTCCTGAATCTGTCGTTCTGGTCCCCGTAAACCCTTCCTCTGCATTTGAAATAACACATTATTCGGATGTCAAAGAAAGACAAAGGCCCCTTCTGTTTAAACATGCTCCAATCTCTTTTTGTTTATAAAATATAAGCACACTTGAGAAAATCTCTAAATATACACGTGTGTTTATTTGTATTCCATGTGCATGTCATGTAGTTTTCATTAACACACTCGTCACCTTTAATTCTCTTACAGATTCTAACATTTATGGTAAAATGGAATTATCAGCCAGTCGCTAGAGGCCTGGTACACTGAAAACTGTGATGACTGTTAATATCATTATAATAATGTACCTAATTATACCCTCCTCTCAATGCAATATTTCTTATATCTTGCTCAGTTCTGGCAGATACTGGAACGTCATCATTGATTATGTGCAACGGTTCAGTTAATCCGATTTTCCCAAATGTTGTAAGTGTAAGACGGTCAGATAAACATTTGAACTTTGTCAGATAAATATTATCATATTTACATTTTGACTTATTGTGTTTTGGCAAACGTCACACACGCAACAATTTAAGAATTATGCAGCCATGATATTTCGGTTTTTCTTACTCTACTTTTCTTTTAGAAGGATATATTTTATGTGTGATAAAATCATACAGCAGGATAACGGTAGGTAAATCAGAAATTGCACAGTGGGTGGTTGGTGGGTGCTTTAGTGTGGTTTGCTTCTTCTTTCCTATGAGACATCTATCGTCCTTATCTCCCCTTCTTCTTTTTTACGTTTGTTACTCTCTTGTAACACTTCTAATCTTCTGGCGATCATATGACCTTATGCAGTTGAGAGCGCCGTAAAAGTCTTACAAAAACAAAAGACATTGCACAGTATTTATTGTGACCTGTTTGAACGAACAAAATACTAGCCGTAGTATGTTTGGTTTTTCTTCTCATTTTCAACTTTTCACTCACATTGAAGGTGTGAGTTCCACTTAAATGAGTGTACATAATATTATGCTTCTATAACTTTCTGGGTTACAAGGGATCTGTACAGTTTTCCCAACTTTCTCAACATGTACATTATAACTGTGTAATACAAGTGCTGTTATATAAAATATAGCGCGATTTATCCCATTTGCATAACGCATTTGTATTTTTTTTTGTCTGACCCATGCTATATGTTTGAGACCCTCAATTCATGATTCAGCATAATGGCTCCTCTTCTGCCCGTAGAATTCAAGATTTGCCACTCTCGCTTTGTCACCCACACACACACACACACACACACACACACACCCCCCCCCCCCCACACACACACACACTCTCTCTCCAGTCTCCAACCCTTACCCAACCTCTCTTCCCCATTTTCTCTACCTTTTCTTGTTCCAACTCTGCAACGCACAAGCATCTCTTTTCTCTCTTACACATAATAAAGATAGAAAATAAAGTAATGTTGTAAAAAACAATTATTCTCAATTTAATTTTGTATTCCTAATTTAATTGTTTTCTAAATAGAATTGATTTACCTTTATCTTTATATTTACGGGTGGGAGTATTGGAATTTAATAGTAGACATTTTACACCATGATCAACATAGTTTAGAACCTTGAAGAGGCGGGTTACTTTAAGCTGCGTGCTAGGACCAACCCGGTCTGAGACAGTGGAAAGGCTTGATTAAAGAAAAAAAACAGCCCACACACGTAGGAATCGAACTTGCCTTTCCTGCATTCGACGGTTAAGTTTTACTGCTACCACACCAACGCTGGTTTTGTGAGTTTTGACACTATTACTGAATGGTTTTATGAATAGAAGGCCGTTTTACAAACTGGTGTCGGCACAGAAATCGTAAATGCCACCACAGCGTTGGTGATCTTGTTCTTAAACCATGAGCACTCTTATTTCGGCAATACAGGATTAGATCCAAGATGGTGAAACCATGACTGCTCTTT